ATGTAATACAAAACTTATTGCAAGTTTTTTGACAAATTTTATTTTATAAGTTTTTATGCGATAAAAATATTTCTTTATTCGACATTACTATCACTTTTTAAAATTATCGAACGATATCGTAAATTCATTAAACTACAAAATATTTTTTTAACTTTTCCAAAAAACTTTTAAAAAATTCCAAAAAAATTCATGCACAATCTGATATAACTATAAAAATGTGTGCAAAATAATTCTGATAAATCTTGTTAGCCCTAGCCCTAAAATAGCTTCAGATAAACCTTAGCCCTAAAAAATTCACTGTAGCCCTAATGCAAAAAGTAAATTTTACAAAATGATAGAACAATGAAGTGTTTTAAGCGTAATTAAAAAAATACTGTAGAAAGAATTTTCTATTTTGTCAGTTTTAAATCATTTTATATAATTACAAGTTACACATTTTGTAATTATTTTTAAATAATTCCAAAATATATCAATTATGTTAGTGTATTCTACAAATAGAGTGCTTAATGTTCTTACATTAAGCATTAACAGAGCAATAATAAATTAGTAAAAACACTTATCTTTTTTTTATCTTCAATTTTTTGCTACTCCATCAGCAGGTTCATCAAAAGGATGTCTAAACATCAAAAAATTCAAATTATAGAAAAAAAATATTTTAAAGGAAGTTGGGAACTGTTATAATTAATTATGTATTAACTGTAATTATGTTTATATATTTTATTATAACTATATAGCTGGTATTATAGATAACATACAAGTTGGTCATATATTTAATTTTTATCATATGAAGGAATGGATCGGACTTACCAACGTGAAGATATAGGAGAGTTTGGATTTGCTGCAAAAGTTGTTCCTGAATATTCAGAGAAAAAAAATAAAACGTTTAAAGGCTGTTTGCATCATATTGGAACAAAAAAATTTCCAATTAGAGCTCAAAGTATGGTGCCATCACCAAAGTTGTTTAAGGTTTTTATGTTTATTTTAAATCAACAACGTTAATATGTTAAAATTATATATGTATTTATTACAAATATCAGATTGTTTGTAATAAATATAAATGAATTTTATTACAAACATTTTGATCTTAAATTGACTGACTTGTACGTCAAAGACTAAATTTAAATATAATTCTATTCATAATTAATTTTTGTTTTAAAAGTCAATATTATATCCAATACATTATATAATTTGGATAAACGTTTTATACAGTGGAGTCAGTATGAAGAATATGTCTGCCCAAAGTGAAAGTGCAATCACTTGTAATTAAATTTTTTTTAGCTTGCGCAAATGCTACTTTTTTGAAGTAAATTTTGAAATGCTAGCAGTCCAAATGCTTGTACAAGTAAAGTTTTACATATAGTTGGACTGCTGCATCATATCAACAAGTGTAGCCTGATGCACTTTTCTCCTAACCAATATATAAACCAGTCTTCACATGCAAACACTCCTAACTGGTGATAATAAAAAGTAATCAGTTAAAAAAAAAATCAAACTTGCGACAAAAATTAGAAAATAGTTATAATGTTATACAACAATATTCAAAAAAAAACATTCCACGTAAAAAAAAACATTCCACATCAAGTCCGATGATATCATGCCATTTACACAGTTATTGGTAATTAGTATATCAACATAAATGTTATTTGTAAATAAATGCTACAGCTGCAAATCTCTGAATTGTAGAAGGTTATATAAAGTATTTAAGGGTTCGTAATGAAATACGTCACGCTCTAGACGAGAGGAGTTAGAGGTGTGACAACTAATATGGGACTTGAAATAATGAAAGTTATGACATGAAATTTGTAACCCTTTTTAACAGATGGGGTTTAAACTTTAAATAATAGGGGCATTGAAAAAATTTTGTGTTACGCGGAAAAATTGCGCCACCCTAGAAAAATATCTACTGTCCTGGCATGAGACGTGAAATTTTAAAAATTTTGTTAAATCTTTAATTTTGAATTTTTTTTTTTTAATTTCTTTAAATTTCTCACCACTTTTCGGTAGTGCGCAAAAGTTGCACCTATGTATGGTTAAAAGTTGCACCTATGTATGGTTAAAAGTTGCACCTATATATGGTTAAAAGTTGCACCTATGTAGGTGTAACTTATTACACCTATGTATGGTTAATTACAGAGCAAATAAAAACACTGTTTTTTCATGATCATGAAAAAATAGTGTATTTGTATTGATATTTTTAGATATAAATGAATAATTTTTTTCTACTCTTTTTTTTTGAATTCTTTTGCTCTAATATTAGTAATCTCGTGAGACAAATATTTTGATTATTAGGCAGTATGAAGTATTTAATGTTATATAATTATAGTTTAAAAGTTACTTATGAAAAATCGAAGTGGCTATTTTGACTTATATGGTAATTTAATATATTTTAGCGGCAGATTTTCCAAATTATCATTATTTTTAATCAATAAATGGTTATTAACTATCAAGCTTTTTTTTGTTACATGAACTAAGCAGAAACAAAAAATACATTGGTTACAGGTTGTGAACTAAGCAGAAACAAAAAATACATTTGTTACAGGTCGTGAACTAAGCAGAAACAAAAAAATATGGATCTTTAATGTTTTCTAAGCAAGGAGAATTAGACTGCCGAATTTCGGATTACCGACAGATTTTACCATGTTGTTTCCAATAAAAGAGGATGTTATTAAACACTGCATTTACAAAAGGTGGTGTCTTGGATCTGAAACAATTGTTACAAAGAACCCTTATTTTATTTTATTGCAGAGCAAGTATGTGTAAAGCTGCAAATGCTGTATTCTAATTCTTCTATTTCTGCAGTTTCAAAAAAACGATCTTTGGTATAATTCATGCATATCACAAAAGCTATATTGATATCAAGACTGTATAAAAGAATAGAGAAAAGCATGGGAACTAAAACAAGGGTAGAGAAATATTTTGATATAGCAAATTATAAGTGCTTCACGTCTAAAAACTGCAATTGCCTAAAGTAATCCAAGGTCCTCATTAAAGAACAGGCATTTCTTGCTGATCAGAGAAAAAAGCGTCTTAAGTGCATTGGATCGCTCGAATTGCAAGAAACCAAAAAGCTTCAAGCAATTGCTGAAAGAAAGATAAAATAATTTCTTTGTAGTTCTAGCATTCTGCACAACGTATGTCTAATCACTGAATCAGATTTTTAGTGATTGATAAGAACAAAATTGTAAAAGAAAGGTATCGAATCATGTACAAACTTAAAGGTTAGAGTTTGGAAATTCATAATGATCATTTAATAGGTCTTTACTTTAACTGCTGACGTAACAAAACATTAGTTTACTAAAGATGAATCCAATGGGAAATCTTTTAAGCCGTTTGAGCTGCTTCCAGTTGTAACATTTAAGCTAGTTAAGTATTCCTTGCCATCAGATGATATATCCGCTTTGAGTAAGGAGTATTATTAAGTATTTGAGGGATTTGCTCTCTTTTCCTTAGCTCAGACATGGGTCCACCAGATCTTGCTAAGCATGATGAAGGTCCCCTAAACATACCCCGCTGGTTGACAACATGTTTCTAATACGGAACCATCAGACAACTTACGCATTACAGTAAAGATCGTTATCAGGGTATACGTGCCATCAAGGCTCTACATCAAAATCCATCATTAAATTAAGAATTAACGCAACGCCATTATTCCAGTGATGCTTAGTTCGTATCTCAGAATGCTTAGTTTGCATCTTAAAAAAATATTCTACTAGCAATGCTGACTAATAAGAGACCACATATCAGAGTTTTTGGCATTCAAAGAGTCATAGAAGCATAAGAAGTGACAGTTGGACACGTTGGGATTATAAAATTTAATATTCCAAAAATAAACTTTGAAACAAAAAGTTACATCTAACTAATTGACTGGTCGTCCAGCAAATTAATTACACCACCAATACTAAATGACGTGATAGCAGAAGATTTAAATAGTATGCTGGAAAAACCAATATCAATTGATTGGACTTTTACAAAGTTTCATGCCACACACAAGATGCAGAAAGAATAGTAAAGTTGGTTACAAAGGCAAAGTGTGTGGTTAAAATAAATGGGACGGATTTATTTACTCTACTCTGAAATCGAGAAAAGCCACGCCTAAATTTAAGTGCAAGACCCAATACAATACCTACACCTAATACTTTTTTCTTAATTTTTATATGCTATAAAATTTGAGTGTATGATTTTTGGTTTATATTTAATAAATTTTAGTTAAATAATGAATAAAACAGTTTGTCGATTTTTGGGTAATTTCAGGCTCCTTGCCAGAACAGAACATATTATTGGTTGGGCTTTTGAACAGAAATTTTGAACAGAAATTAATCATACATTGGTGCAACTTTAGCACACTAATTGCAACACTGTTGCAAAATGCTGTGACATTTAAGAGGAATTTTAAACGAAAAAATTTGAATATTTTACAAAATTTTTGAAATTTCACCCTTGCTAGAACATAAGACATTATCCTATGGTGGTAAAATTTTGAACAGAAGTTACTTATGTATAGTGGTAAATTTTCCGCGCTACATCAAAATCATTGTTAATAATTTTCTTTTTTCGATTCCCCCCCCCCCCCCCACCTATTTAATAGTCATAATGTTTGATCGCTAAGAGATTAATGTATGAAATTCAAAAATTATCGATAAATATAAATTTAGTTAACGCTGAATCTCCAACCATCGCAATTTTTACATAAACGTTTAATGTTTGGAGTTTGCTCATTGCCTGGAAGTTAGCCATTTCAAATGTTTAAAGGTGCTGAATCCGCCCCTGATAATATGTATCATAGTATAATACATAAAAAAATATTTGCGAGCTATTATTTTATTTCAATGTACTCATTTTACAATGTCATCAAAAAACTTACATTTTATAATAAGATAACATACTGATTAAAATATGCTTATAAAGCTCGTGCATTTAATGAATTGACGAAAATAAAGCTCGTACATTGAATGAATTGACAAAAAATAAAGCTCGTACATTAAATGAATTGACAAAAGTAAATCTCGCACTTTTAATGAATTGACGAAAATAAAGCTCATACATTTAATTAACTGGCGGAAATAGGTTACATTTTATGCACTGGCCAGATTATTCAACAAGTTTGAATAATTGGGTTAAACATATTAGAGCTTAGATGAACAAACAATTATTCAAAATTAAATGAGAATATTTTTCAAGAGAATAGATGGTAGGTTGTTAATTAAGGTGACACAGAATTTGTAAAAATAACATAAAGGTCAGCGAATTCTTAATATGAAAAAATTAAAAATTGCAGTACTTCCAATAGACAAACACATTTAAAACTTTATATTTAACCAAAACTGGTAAACAAGATAATCAACTATGGTTTCTGATTTTCTAAGATTTTTAACATTTGGTTCTATTTTTGTCTCCCTACAGTTGCTGGTAGAAACTGAAGTGCAAACATTTTTATAATGCTTGCATTCAGTTAACTAAGGCTTAGCATGTAGTTGTGATAAAGGGACTTTTGAAATCGTAACGCCGGCGGCAATCGCAACTTCTGAACACAAAATATTTGTAATGCGCGTGTGTGAGCACAGGGTAAATCCCAACATGCGTTCTAATGTTCTAGACCGGATTTGAAAATCAACAAATTTAGCTAGCGTTTAGGGATAAGTAACAAATTGTATATGTATGAGAAGGTTGTGGTTATAATACAAATGCTCAAGTTACCTTATCATACAAATGTTTATATCATTTATCACACATACATACACATATTTAAAAAAAAAAATCAATTTATATTATTGTAATCGAGAATTTCAATGTGAAATCTACCATTATAATACATATGAAACATTTTAGTGAAATATAAAATATATGAAAAATTTATGAGAAATATTTCATATATTTTACAATGAAGCATTTCCATTGAAACATTTCCATATTTTATAAGGAAATATTTCACAAAATAATGATTTATTATTATCTGAAATATCTCCGTA